TATATCTTCTTCCACGCTTCATAAATGAGTAAACAAACGAGTAAACATTCGAGTATAAAGGATAATCTTTTAAAAATTAAATTAAAAATATTCTTTAGGTATCTGTGCGCAGATTTAAAATGAAAACTATCCATTATCTGTTTTATGTCATCTCTTTGTTTAAATTGACACTTTCACTTAATAAATATATCGAAGATTAATGAAATTGTTTTTCTTTCTTTCAGCTTTTTTATCGACTGCGAGCGAATAGAAAACACTATGAGGAATATAGATTTCGAGGACAGCAGATTCGACAAATTTAGAAGAGATCAGGAAATCGTCCTTCCAGATTGATCATTCGTTGATTAGACAATTAAAAAAATACTTTATTGTGATTGTGAATTTGAATGTTGTACCCAAATAATGTATATTAAACATTCTGTCAGATATTTTTATTTTGAAAACAAAAAAGAATTAATGATTAAAGTTAAGTAATAAAGGTTTAAACCATAGATTAATACTAATAATAAAAACGAAGTTTGAATAAAAAGTTGTTTTTCTTCTCTTCCGATAGCTATATAGGGATTGAGTATAAGGAGTTAATTTTTTAAGCGACAGGTTTCGAAGTATTTATTCCCAAAAAAATAGTTGTAATATTGAAATATTTTCGAATGTAATTTGTACTTTTTTTTTATATTTTCAAACATAGAATTCATTATAAAATAACTGTTTTCCAATCAATCAGTCACAAAATTTTATTCCAGATACAGACAATAATCAAAAGCAGAAATATATCTTTTCTGATCATGTACTCAAGGAATTTTTAAGAACATCGTAAAATAATAATAATAATTTAAATATATAAATCCTTTCAGTTTTGTGTCTACATAGACCAATTTTTCATGTGTTGTAAAGAAAACAAAATTTAAATTCATTACCTTTAATTCTTTGTTATAAAATTTTAAATTGCCATCATCTTCGGAAACTAGATGATAATTGATGGAATTAATTTTTTCATTCGTATTAGTATTCTCACATTTAAATATTTTTAATCAAAAAGTAAAAATAGGAAATGAAATAGGTGTTTTTAGCTAATTACTGTTATGTTTGAGATTATACGAACATACTGCGCAAGTCGACTAAAAATTACCCTGTCCAACACGGTGGGTAAAATTTCTTTATCTCGACGTGTTTTTCTTTTAAATAGGAACGGGCTGGGATAATTCGTCTCGATAAAACGTCCCACATTTAGGAACTGTATCAAGCTAGCGGGGGCACTCTGTGGCGGCACCATACAAGACCGGTAGCTTTTTTGTAACGCTATTTGTGAATTTGTAGCTTGACCCGGGTGCGAAAAAACGGCGGATCCGCTAGCCTGTATTTCCATAGTAGTGGCACAGATTCGGACCCAGCTGGTTTTTCGTAACTTTTTTGTGGCCAGTCTCCCTTTTGTAGCTTCTACTGAGCCTGAGAAAAGCGCGAATTCGCCAGCTTAGTAGATATATGTAGCGGCACTAGCTCGTGCCCAGCTCATTTTTTGTAATTTTTTAGTAGCTTTTTTGTTACGCCGATCTCGACTTCGTTGCGGGACCTGAGGAAGAGAAAAGTGTGCGACTCGATCAATTTTCGGCCAAAAATAACAACAGAATTCTATAATCCATATCAATACTACGGCAGCGTAGAAGGGCCACACTTTTTAATTTTTTTTTTATTTTTAAAATTCCGTGTTTGAACACGGAATTTCTTGTTCATGCACGGAATTCCGTATTCGAACACGGAATTGCCTGTTCAAACACGGAATTCCTTGTTCGAACACGGAAATCTAAAATTCCGTGCACGAACACGGAATTGCCGTGTTCAAAGAATTCCTTGTTCAAACACCAAATTTTATTTTTAAAATATAAATTTAAATTGTGTATTATACAGATTACGCATGGGTGACTTGGGAATCTTGGGGAGGGATGGGTAGATACAGATTCTTTGAATATCCTCAAATTTTTACTTTTGGCGACTTTTAAAAAGAGGGACGGCGTAAGTATTCAAACACGGAATTACTTATTCGTACACGGAAATCTTTGTTTGAATACGGCAATTTCGTGTTCGAACACGGAATTTTAGATTTCCGTGTTCGAACAAGGAATTCCGTGATTGAATACGGAATTCCGTGATTGAATACGGAATTCCGTAATTAAATACAGAATTCCGTGTTCGAACAGGGAATTCCGTGTTCGAATACGGAATTCCGTTTTTGAACACGAAATTACCTATTTCCGTATTTGAATACGGAATTCCGTGTACGAAGAGGAAAATCTGTAATTCCGTGTTCAAACACGGAAATTCCTTGTTCAAACACGGAATTCCGTATTTAAACACGGAATTCCTTATTCCTATACGGAAATATTTGTTTGAATACGGCAATTTCGTGTTCTAACACGGAATTTTAGATTTCCGGAATTCCGTGATTAAATACAGAATTCCGTTTACGAACAAGGAATTCCGTGTTCGAACACGGAATTTTAAAAATTAAAAAAATGTGGCCTTTCTACGCTGCCCTACAATACCGTAGTCGCTTACGTTTTTATTTTTCGCCGAAAAATTATTTTTGTTCTTTTTAGTACACTTTATTAAAAGTGCGGCTTTTAAAAAAATTCTGTTTTTATATTTTTTTTTATTCAGTAGGAATAATCACACGTGTACTGCCATCTATGTCGTAATAGGTACAACTCGATAGTGTGACTATTTGTTGATAGATGGCGCTAACATTTCATGAATTATGGTTACCTTACATCATTGTATAAAGGGCTATATCAAGCTCTGTAGCGGCACCATACAAGACCAGGATAGCTATTCACTAAGTCATGGGAGCGCTCCCATGGGAGTGCTCCCATATATTTTGCTCTCTTACTCTTAGGTGGGTATATCGTGCTTACTCACTTTTAGCACAGGTACATGCGTAGTAAGGTCAGATTTTATACTATGGGAGGGAGAATTGCGGGCTTGCCAGATTAGGTCCGTATTTATCACAAAGCAAATTTGAACTACTAAGGACCGATTCCACCGTTGAGTTAAACGGAGATTAAAATGACATTGTTAATGTAAAAATGTCATTTTAAACTTCGTTTAACACAACGGTGGATGGGTCCTTAAATAGTAGATCAAAGTTATTCTGTCGACTTGGCAACGTTGGCATGGGAGTATGGGAGTGTGGGTGTGCTCCCATGAGTTAGAGAATAGGTATCCTGGTGGGTTTTTGTAGCTTTTTTGTTGCGCTATTTGCGAATTTGTAGCTTTGCCCAGGTCCGAAAAAACAGCGGATCCGCTATCTTTAATTTCCATAAATTCCATAGTAGCGGCATAGATTCAGACCCAGCTGGTTTTTCGTAACTTTTTTGTTACACTAGTCTCCCTTTTGTAGCTTGTACTGAACCTGAGAAAAGCGCGGATCCGCTAGCTTAGCGGATATTTGTAGCGGCACCAGCCACAGCACCAGCTCGGACCAATGAACTGGAGTGGGGTAGAATGCTTGTCAATAGACTTGAGATGCGACTCTATGGGCGAAGACAGGTCATTTTCCATCTCACTCGGGAGTATGTATAACAACCATTTTCTATTTCACTTTGTTATTGTCTGATCCACCAGCTTGTGGATTGAACAATAACAATGTGAAACAGAAAATGGTTATTATAAATTCTCCCGAGTGAGATGAGAAATAAAAATGGCTGCGCCCATAGAGTCGCATCTTGTTCTAGTGATACAATATGCACATTGGCTTTCTACCCCACTCCAGTTCATTGGCTCGGACCAGGCTCATTTTTTGTAACTTTTTTGTAGCTTTTTTGTTACGCCTGTCTCCATTTCGTTGCGAGGCCTGAACGTGAGTAATAATCGTTTCTCCATGAGCGTGAGAGAAAAGTGCGTTAATTTAAAATCAAGTTTCGGCATCTACAAGTAATATGTGCAACTCGATAGTGTGACTATCTGTTGATAGATGGCACCAGTATTGCATTTCACAAATTATGGCCATCTTCCATCCAATATATTTTTGAGAAATTTAGATATAATCTCAAAATCGGACATTTGTTTTTAAATGTTTTTTAGTGTTGTTTATGTATTTATACTTCTGTTGAATCAAGAATATTCTTACATCATTTTTGAATGATTTCCTTAACCAATCGTTTTGCAGTATTTATGGACCAGTGTTTAATTCTGTCGGATCACAACTATACCAGTGTGTTCCATCTCAGTCGAGCCACCCCGTATATTTCTTATCCCATAGTAATTGGAAAAATTTCCCGAAACACGTCGGATGATTTTCTTTTCTGTTTCACATTGTTATTGTTCAATCCACAAGCTGGTGGATCAGACAATAAAGTGAAATAGAAAATAGTTGTTATACATACTCCCGAGTGAGATGGAAAATGACCTGTCTTCGCCCATAGAATCGCATCTCAAGTCTATTGACAAGCATTCTACCCCACTCCAGTTCATTGGTCCGAGCTGGTGCCGCTACAAATATCCGCCAAGCTAGCGGATCCGCGCTTTTCTCAGGTTCAGTACAAGCTACAAAAGGGAGACTAGCGTAACAAAAAAGCTACAAAAAAGTTACGAAAAACCAGCTGGGTCTGAATCTGTGCCGCTACTATGGAATTTATGGAAATTCAAGCTAGCGGATCCGCTGTTTTTTCGGACCTGGGCTAAGCTACAAATTTGCAAATAGTGTAACAAAAAAGCTACAAAAAAGCTACAAAAAACCCGCAAGGTCTAGAATGGTGCCGCCACAGAGTGGCCGCTAGCTTGATATAGCTTCGTGTAGCCACATTTAAGAACACTTTTTAAGAGTCTAGACAACGTCCGAACGCGTTTACTCTACATTTCTGAACGCACCAACCTAAGTTGTGTGTCAATTGTCAGCTGTTTAAATGACAGTGACATATAAATATAACCTTATTCTTATTGTTTGTGTAAACGGTGGTTTGTAATTTTAATTCGTAAACTTTATGGTTTCATAAGATTTAATTTATATGATGGTTACTCAAATTATTGCTGGTTTAAAAAATTTCTTCATATTTAATTCTACACTCAGCACTAAGGAGGGAGAGGTACACCGAATAGATTAAATCAAAAATGTATATGACTTGATATATTTTTCTAGGAACTTAAGAAAATATTATATTACTATCCTGTAACAGACAATACCGATGTTCAGATTAAAAATGTAGGACTGGTCGAAGGAATTGTACAATTTACAGAGTAAGTATATTTATAATGTTTTGTAGGTACTTGATATTTTTGTTATTAACATGTTTTAGCACCTTTAGGCCGTCATCGCCTGTTAGTTCTCTCCATACCAATAAAACAAGGCATTTATACTATCAACCAGAAAAAGATTTTTGGTTAGTTATGGTAGGATATATTTTATTAAATTATTGTACTTAAATATTAATACTTTAATTTTAATAATTATTTTAGACACTAAAACTTAACCGACCCACAAAAGAAAAAGAACTATCAAATGAGTCGGAAGATTTGGAAGATGATATTGAAGATAGTGTATATCAAGCTCTATTGAAACAAGCATATTTGATGTACAGGCTCTTTTGGGGTACATTTAGAGATGCTAAAAATACAGATGCACTTAAAATGACATTGGAATTATTTTACAGAGCTGTAAGTTATTATACATTGTCCTAGGTCACGTATTAAGTGCTTTGCAGGTATATAAGTATAATTTTTTATTGTCAGATTATTTATCATGAATTAGATGCAGACCAAGATAAAAATTGTGAGGTAGTAGCTGTGCTCTTATTGACACAAAATCATGAACTTCTAAATGTAGGAAATAAAATATTTATACATAATATTTACCCATTAACTGAACACTCTTATTAAATTTTAACTTTCATAATATTATATTCTCTTGATTCTCAGTTATTTAAGTGTATAATATACAACCTCTAAATCACACCTACTTGATATTTTGTTTCTGTCATATTTAAAATGGATCTCTTCCATCATTGCATCTTAAAATATTGTAATTTTAAAATTACTACCTAACTTTACAACATATCAAGAAAAATGCAAATACAGTTTTTACTTATTTTTTTTTCTCTTATTTAAATTTTTACTGTCTAGACTAGAATACAAGGAAATATTGAGGGAAATACTTTAAGCAGAATTTGCATAACAAAAACATGATTGTAATAATTTTTAGGCAATTTTATATTTTATGTACATTTTTAAGTAGAAAAGGTACAAACTAACATCCACACTAGATATGGATGTATGTATGTCGGATTTTGCAATCTCACTTTGCCAGATTGTAATTATTATAATAAAAATATTGAATATGTAAAGAGTGAATTATAAAAAAATGTTACTAAAGTAGGCCATAACTAAAAGAATTTCGATGCTGGACCAAATCAATTTTGTAAACATACATATACATCAGATAAGGTGGTCAACTATTTAGTTGTGTTACTGTTTAAATTTATAATATGAATTGGTACCTAATAAAAAGCCTGTAGCATAACCAGGTTGGGCAAAATACAAGAATTTTTACTTTTGAAACATGTATTCTAAAAAGTGTACTAATTGTATAGGTTCTTGCTTTAATATTACTAACATAATAGGTATATGTTTAAGAAATTGATACATCATCAAAAATGAAATAGGATAAACTTATTGAGATGTGATATTTTTATAGTGTTAATGTAAACACATTTTAGATGCATAATAAGAAGAAATATCTGTAAAAATTCATTAGTCAATTTGTTTTAACTTGTATCAGTTGTATCTTGAGATAGAGTTTATAATTTTTAAAAAGAAGTTCTTGTTAAATAATTCTCTTTTCTTTCAACCAACATAAATAATTAATGTTTTATAAGTTTTGCACATTTAGTTTGTAGTTTAGTTGTTAGAAGTTAATAAGAAAGCAAATAAAATGCCTGGATTATTTCCCAAAAAATCTCATTGGTGTTGAAATTGCTGAAAAACTAATACCTACCTATTTAAGTTTTTGAGTTATTATTTATGTAGGTATAATGCACAGTCATGGGTAAATATTAAAAATCTTTAATTTTTTCAATATGCAATCAAACATGGTATGTGACAAATTTTGCATTATTTTGAATTATTACAACATGAAATATTGCAAAACCAAATATGAGATAAATATCAAAGAACTTAAAATTTATTTTCATGGACCAGGCCAACACCAAACTGGAGCTATTATTTTAGAATATATAGTGTACAAACCATATATAGTATGATTCAAAAGGAAACGAGAAACACGAGAAAAAATTAATCTTTTTCTTTCTTGACTTATATTTTAAAATTTTGTCAGTTAGGTACATTGCGTAATTTTTTTATAATACCTTATTTTTAATTTACTAATAAAGTATAAAAGTTATATGAGCTTGATATGACCAATTTCTGAAATATGAGATAAAATTTAGTAAAAATAAAGGATGAATTTTTCCAACAGTTTATGGTCTCCTTATAAGCTAGACTTTGAGAAAATGTTTTGTGTACATTTAAAATATTTAAATTATTACTTTGAAAAGTTCAATATCTCTGGCATTATTGAAGGTACAAAAACATTTACAGAACGATGGGCAGTATTAAACTATACATTTTAAAATTAGTTCAATAAATTCAGACTAACAAACTTATATTTTTTAAATGGATTATCCAGTATTTTATTTTATATTTGAATTGCCCTTGCTTTTCCCATTATATCAAATCGTATGGGATTACACAAGGTGTTTCACACGCTATAATTCATTTTTATATAAAAAACGTATTGTTTCAAATGATCTGTATATTGCAAAAGAAACAACCTTTATTTTATACACTATTCAAAAGTACCCTAATTCAATAATACTTTCACGTGAGTTAACTGTTCTCTAAACCTAAAGTTAATAGTTTAAAGAGATTTTTAAATTTAAATGACAAAAAGATCATTCAAATTTTTTTAATACTTATAGCAAATAAACGAACAATTTCTAAAATGAAGTTCTATGCATATTTTAAAAAATAAGCTAAACTTTTGTTCAGAGAGTTACGGAAGTTTATTACATATTGAAAATAAATATGTCATACTTCCAGAAAAAAATAGAACATGACTATTTACCATGTTCTTTGTCGCCGGACATCTATTTAATCAATAGATACTCCCACAATTAATTAATTCTGTCATTTACTTTATTCTCTCATTTTTAATTCGATTTGACAACGTCGCAAAACCATCACAGCTCAAGATACATCCAAGTGGGTAGATTCAGAAACTTTATTTCTATTCGTAGCAGTACCGACTGGAATAATGTGTTAGGTGCCAAATTTAAAAATATTCATTTAATTAAAACATTATTGACTTTTTACAATTTTTCAGCGTTTAGAATAAATCGTGGTGGTCTGTAAAGCAATAAAAAGTTATAATAACAGGAAATATGCTATTAAAAGTTTTAAAGATAATTTATTGTAAAATGATAATGTTATTATTATTTATAAAAGAACCGTAAGTTCAAAAATTTTGTAAACATTCTCCTAGTATAACAATGACATGTAGAGATCGCATAGAACAATTTTGAACAAAATCGGATGAAAGATAACTTTTTGCTTGAATTATTGATAAATATTTTTCAAAAACGGCTTACCAGATTTTTTTCAAAATTTGCCCATCACTAACGTATGTGATGAGTATGTTGGGTGATTTTCTTCAAAGTTTTTAAACATAAGATTATTTTTTTTGGTTGGATAAGATAAACCTCAAAAAAGTGGGTGTTCTGCTAACTTTGAATGAAGTTAGCAGAGCACTTTGATTTTTGTAAAAAACGAGGAGCATAAAATTTTTTAATGAGGCATAAAAATAGCCTTAAAATATGGCATATATTATGTTTTAACTTAAAATTCTCTAGGTGCTTTGCTGCTTTCTTCAGCATCATTCTAATATGTATATTGCTGACATGAATAAAAGAAAAACGAAATAAAAAATTATAAAATAAACCAAGCAGCTACTAGTTTCGGCCTCTATGGGTCATCATCATCCCTAAACTTATGACTTACAAAGTAAGGTTACTAGAGAGTTATATGAATACTTACCAAAACAATTTTTATACTTAAGGGTAGGTTATAAATCCATTATCTCAAAACAATACTATTCCAGAATTCCGCGTACATTCTGATAAAAAGCATCAAGGTTAAGTTTTGAGTTTAACTTAGGTTTAGGTTTATTTGCACCAGGAGAAGGCCCTACTTTGAGGTTTTTCCTTGCATTATACGTGTCTATCTAATGACTACGTTCTCTCCATTATCTTTGCGGGTTTTTAGCTCAGCATGTTCAGACTTATACCTATCTCTTTCTTTGTAGGTTAGATCAAAATTAACAAAAATCCCGTTTTTCTTCAGTTTGTAGTTATTTTTTATCAGGTTCCCAACCCCAGCTGGGGAATTAAGACTCACTCTTAAAACTCACTCTTAAAACTCGATTATTATTTTTGTTCGGTTTACTCATTCTCAAAACCTCTACGATTTGAGGTGTATTATCAATTATCAGACAGTATTTTTAAAACATTCCTGATTTCCTCATCATCATTGCCCTTTGGTATATTAAATAACATTATATTATTGGCTCGTCTTTGACGCTCTTGCAACTCACACAATATATCAGTCTCAGTAAAATTTTGTGCTGGCTTGTTATTAGCTAACGTTGGATTGTTAGCTGTTATTGGTGTAGCCGGTGCTTTTTGTAGATTGCCAATCTCACGACAAAGTTGATTAACAGCCTTTGTTAATTCAGGCATCACTTTAAAGCCTTTCTCACAATCCTCACAAAAAAATTTTTAGCTGGCAGTTTCATTACTTTAATCTCTGAAACATTAAGCCCAGAACAAGGCCTTTTATGAAAAATTCTTTTGCAACTGTCACATGCAACAATATCGTTTGCTGGCAAGTCTAAATCGCACTAACTACATTTTAAGTCATTTTAAGACATTTTAGGTTAAAATTTAGAACGATTTTTAACCGACTTCAAAAAAGAAGGAGGTTCTCAATTCGTTGTAATATTTTTTTTATGTATGTTCAGCGATAATTCTTTAACACGGTGTCCGATTTCAATGATTCTTTTTTTTTTGTTAGAAAGGGGTGGTCAAAATCTAATAATTGGGTCCATGAGAAAATCCTCAAACTCTTCATTTTTTATGTATGTTTAGCGATAATGCTTTACCACCTTGTCCGATTTATATGATTCTTTGTTTGTTAGTAAGGGGGTACCTCAGGGGTGGTCCCATATAAATTTGGTTAAAATGTAGTGATAGCATCTGCCCGATTTTAAAGTCGGTTTTTTAAATTTTTAATTTCTAATACTTGTAAAACTTAAAGTATTGTAACCTTGACTGGTCGAATTAAAATATTTTACCTCGCTCGATCCGCTTAAGATTGTTTAAAGTCAGACAGAAAAAGGGCGTAAATTATTCACAAAATAATATGAATGTGAATTAGTGCCCACTAACAACTGTGTAGCTTAAATATAAAATATTCGGCACATTTACGCACTTTTGAGCAATATAAAAACTATAATTATTAAAAATTCTTGTTTTAGAAAAATAAAACATGTGTTCTATTTTGAGGTTATCTTCTATTAGGTCTGATGGTGGTTTATAGAGGCCGAAACTAGTAGCTGCTTGTTAAACAATAATAAAATTATGTGATAAATAATTTCATAGTTTTCTTTCCTTGCAAAGGATTGTCACTTTGGTGAAAATGAATGATTCACCGCCACTTATTTTAATGATGTGCAAAATGTCCAATAAAAACCACTTCCTTATTAATAATAGAAACAAATCCACAAACAATTAATATCAATACAAAATGAACAAGAGGTGCTTATTTGGTGGTAAAATTACAAGCATTTCTAAATGTTACAACACGACAACAATGCTATAAAATATTTGTATGTTTACATTACGACCATAGATGTAAATCAACTTTACCATATTTTCTTTTATTCCAGTATTTACAATCGATGAAGTTGGCAAATGCAGATATTCTTAACATGTTTTCTGGAATACAGTACTTGCCTTTAGATAAAGATTGTTTTCTTAAAGTACAAACATTTGTGAACTGTTTGGAAAGTACATATGACTTTATTATACACACATCATTTCTCTATAATGACTACTTGATCTGGTAAGTCAAATGAAAAGGTTTGCTTCAAAGTTACCTTTGTAGTAGAGTACAATAATTATGTAGGTATTTAACTGAATAAATAACAATTTTTTTTAATTTATTTCATTTTTTTTTATAGGAGTGGCATAGAACCATCTGATATGCAAGTTGTTTATCAATATCTAATAGGAACACTATTACCAGCTAACGTTGAGGCAGAAATGCAAGGGGGGTCGATTCCCAGAAATTCTCCATCACCCTTTGCTGCATTACGCCATGGTCGTTTCATTACTGGTCCCTCGAATTTAAAATTAGCCCAAACTGTGGGTAAAGTTCCTAAAGTGTACCTTTTCGCCAATGGAGAATCACAGGAGTTTTATCTAGTTGTTTATAGAGCCCTTAGTGCAACTGTTTGTCTGTTTATAAAAGGTATTATTTACATTTATTTATTATAAAATAAGAGGACGAAACGTCTAAATCTTTTTTTTCCTCATAAAGGAACGGTAAAACCAAAATTAATTTTCCTTTCATATATCTAACCATTATTACAGTGAAATGCTTTTAATAATAATACACTTAATATAAAATTACATATCGTTACCCTGGTTTTTGATAAACTCAATTCATTTCCAAGCTCAAACTTTCATAATACAAAATCATCATCTTTAATTTTCTCGAAACTTCCAGATGTTTCTAAACACGGAATGACATTTCTGGATATTTCTAGACCTCTTCTCCTTTTATTCTTATTTTTACTTATAAGAACCACAGTACACTGTAGGGTGATGGATGACATTGCACTTCTATTTTTATTCGTATGTTTACCTTTACAGCCGCAGGTTACTGCAGGGTGCAGTGTAACATCTCATCCCTCTTCTCTAATTATTTGTCTTGAATAACTTGATTACTGGGGCCTAGTTCAAGCCAACGGGGAGGGTCTGGATCATGGTTATATTAACTACCTTAGGTTTAGTTCCCACTGACTGATTACGGTAGATCAGGTAATTGATTTTCTTGAGGACGGTGTAGGGGCCTTCCAGTTCTGTTGCAGTTTTTGAAAAAGTTCATTTCTGCGCTTTGGATTGCACAGCCATACTGGATCGCCTCACTTAAAATGTGTCCTTGTGGCATGTATGTTGATTCTAGTTTTTGCTTTCACAAAGGAATCTGTAGACCTTTTCTAATCTTTTTCTTAAGTTTTCTATGTACGTGAGAGGTGAACTGCCTTCTTCTTCATCAGAAGGCTGCCGTTCAAAAAGAAGATCATGGGGAAGCTTTATCTCCCTTCCAGTAATCATAGATGAAGTATAACTGGTCGATTCATGTTCAGAGCTTTGGTAGGCTAGCAGAAATAGAGGAATTAAAGTGTCCCAATCCAATTGGTTTTCAGAGACGAACATTGAAAAATACTGGCAAATAGTTCTATGGCGTCTTTCTACCATTCCGTCGAACTGTGGGTGGAGAGGCATAGTGCGTGTTTTCCTGATGCCTAACGTTTCCATCAATTCTTACCATAGTTTGGATTCAAAATTTCGTCCTTGGTTAAAATGCAATTTCAGAGGAACTCCATGTCTCCCTATGACGTTTGTCGTAAATGCTTCTACTACAGCCGTCGCTTCCTGATTAGAAATAGGCGCTATTGTGCCAGACATCCTAGATATGCTTTTTGCTACCTCATATTCCTGTGCTGCAATCGTGTCCTTTTTAAAAATTGCCAGCCTGTTTTTTTTTCACATAGTTTTTGAACTGGGTATTGCAAGCGAGCTTTGATTTTGCTTACCAAGTGCAGATGGCGTTATTGAAATTATTTATGACTTCTTATTCTCGCTCACACCCCGTATATGTAGGCGAGTGAATTTAATGTATCTACAGATTCTATTAGAGACTGGAATCAATAATATCTAATACTTGCTGATGAGCCCTAATAAGGACGAAACCGGCCCAAGAATGACTTTCCTTAGTAAGCAAAATCAAAGGTAGAATGTCTACAATAATTTTCTATCTGTGCTGTTTTTTTTTTAGATATAATTCAATGCCTGCTACTTGTATTATTGTGTGACATAGGGCTTAGGGAATTTCTTCTTTTAATTTATTTTACGTCTTGGTCACATTTGAGTTTGGAATTATTTTCCTTTTTTAATAATTTTATTATTAAACTATTTTGATTAATGTAAACTAATATTTTTTAGGTGACACTGAACTTAATTTAGAATTATTCAAAACTCTCGACGATGTCATCAACACCAAACTAATAAACATAGTATCTGATATTGCAGACTACTGTTCAAAACAAGTTATAACACCCAATCTCTCCGATACTGCTTCGAGATACATTTACTTTAATAACATAAACTTAGCATACAAAAGCACAGCTCACTTGGATAACAAGCAAAGTGGAAATTTAGCTTGCCCGAAAGAATCTGTCAGAATCGCGGCAGAAATGAAAGGAAACATTCCATTTTTGGGACAGGCGGGAGAGACTATCGTCAAGACTATGAATGACTGTTGGGTAGTTATGAAAACGTCCAATCATCGGGAGTTTTATATAGCACTTCAACAAAAGAACGCTAGTTTAATTGATATAAGTGGTAAGTATACATAAAGTGATACAATTTTTTTTTCTAAAATTGGCTTTGGAAAAAATCAGGCTGTTTTCTAAATGCGAGTTCCATGTTAACGTGCTGTCAAAGATGAGACCTAGGTACTTCACCTCTGTTGCAAAGTTTAGTTTTGTGTTTAGGAGTTCTGGAGGTTTTAATTCCATGTTCATCCTTTTCCTTGTGAAAAGAACCATTTCTGTCTTCTTGGGATTGGTAGACAGTGAATGGTCCTTGCACCACTGTTCTATAGGATGTAGGATGACCAGCTCATCTGCATATGCTATTGTGTCATTATTGAGGCGGCTGAAGAGGATGTCGAGGAGCATGTTATGTATCCACCCACTAACCATCTGTGGAACATTCCTGTTGGTTAGTGAGTGTATTATCTTGGGGAAGATGGTTTTATCAAAAGCACCTTCTATGTATATGAAAATATCCAAGGTGGACTCCTTATTGTCCATGGATCTTTCTATCCGGCTAGCAACTAGCTGAATGGTTGAATCAGTAGATCTGCCTGGAGTGTATGTATGTTGATATGGGTGTAATGGTGTTTCAATCACTGTATTCCTTATGTACCTTTCGCATAGCCTTTCCAATGTCTTCATGGAAAACAATGTCGAGACTAATTGGTCGGTATGTTTTTGGAGAAGTGTAATCGATCCTTCCAGTTTTGGGTATGATTACCACTTTTACTTCTCTCCATTTTTTGGGGGATATACCTCAGAGTCAACGAGGTGAGGTGTGAATTCTTCCAAACCCCACTGAAGTACGACTGGATAGATACCGTCAGATCCTGGCGATTTAAATGGAGAGAAGCTGGCTATTGCCCATCTAATTTTGTCATCGCCTACAATGTGTTTGGCAGTTTGCCAATCATAGACAGATGGGTTGTATTCTTCCTCTGCCCAGTCGGCCACGTCTGTGATGACCGAGCCAGGGAAGTGTGTTGACAGCAGAAATTTGATGCTATCTTCGAGTTTGGCAGTTTTTATGCTATCTTCGAGGTTGGTAGTTTTTATGCCATCCTCTTTTTTTAGCGCACCAATGCTGCAGTTAGGATCTTCTGAGAGAGCTTTTTGGAGCCTCGCTGCCTGCGGGAAACCTTAGATTTTTTCGCAGTAGGATCTCCATGTATCTCTTTGTTTTTGCCTACCGATTTTTTGTATTCTCTGAGTTGAGATTTGTTTATCCCAGTCCTCTTTGAGTTTGGTTGTTCTTGCCTTATTAAAGGATTTTCTAACCATCTTCCTGAGGTGATCCAACTCGTGACACCACAATGCGGTAGTCGTCTGATCGTGTTGGACTAGCCTCAGGGGACAGGATTTCTTGTAGGCACGCTACGTCATAACCATTACTTTGAATTTCGAATACATATCTATAACTATCAATAAATAAAAATAAGTAAGTTGTTAGGTATAAGACAATATTTTCTATATTCCTATAAAATTAACACTACAGTAAACCCCCAGTACGTGGCGATAACCAATTAATTACTTTGTCAAATGATGATGTAGCTGTGTTCTTCTAATTGTAATCGGACTCTACTTGACTTTCATCCATCATTTCAAACTTTTGAATGACAGTATTGTTTCTGTATAGTAAAACGTTGACTATTACATTATTTACACCAAGAGTTAAGTGAAAGGCATTAAGTACAGATTACCGCATTTACGGTAGTTTTTATATTCTGTATACATTGATTTGGTAATTTTTATGTCAATAATGCCATATCTAATATCGTTTTCTTTTCAGAGGAAGTTAAAAAACTTTGCGACACTGAACTCAAGGGCATATTCTTCAACCAACTTTGAGTGATATTCCATATATTTATTCCATGAAGATTTGTAAATAATATAAGTAATTATCTATTTAGCTATAATAAAATAGAATTATTATTGTTTTTAAAATGTGTCTTGTGATATTTTAATATTATGTATTATAGTCTATTTGATTTCGCCGTGCAATTGTATGGTTTTGTTTAAAAATACAGTCAGAGGTCTTAAACTAATAAATACATTCATTTTCGACCCAAATTATTATTTGAAGAGGTTAAATTTGGATTTGAAATCTAACATTTTTGACGTAACAATACTCCTCAGGTCACATAATTGGAAGGGCTAACTACCTCTTTAAAATTTTTAAATATTGAAAAGAGGCGGTATATGTTACACCGCATTTTAATTTAAGGTAAATGCATCACAGATTTCTTATGTTCTATCTTTGGTTTTACTTTTTTTCTTCAAGCCACAGTGGTATTAGCAAGTCTTTAAATAATGTCGGACGACCCATTTGTCTTCAAAATTTGTTTTTCATAAAAATTGGAATTGTTTTTTTTTTATTAAAGGTTTCATACGTGTTTTTAAACAGATGAACTTTTTTATTCTCAACATCAATTTTTCTATTTATCTTAATACACGATTTACCTGACCAAAGCTTTAGCTTTCGTCCTCCTATCCAATAGCTTTTGTCATCAGAAGAATTCTTTGAGCTATGCTAATATTATCATTCATATTGTATCAAAAACATATTCGTTTTCCTATTTTTAATACTTCACTCTCACAGAGAACCAAATAACGAACCGTCACGAACTCTCTTCTCTATAATGCAGAAAACAACCAAGCCGCTTGGATTGCTTCTGCAGGCAGGTTACTTGCTTAACCAAATTAGTCGGCTGGTTCATTGGCTAACAAATAACGCTAGGTACCAGAATGTGGCCTGGATCTTTTTTGCAGTAAAGGTTACGGTTCTTAATGCAATATTATGCAAAAGTCTAAAAATCACAAATTTATGGGTTGCTTCCTTTCTGCAGCAAGCCGTCCAATTAGACATCAAGAAGGACGTCAAACGAACCTCATATATGCAACTAAGAATACATGCTCTAATAACATTACTGCACCGACCCTGTCATAGCTATCGGAAAGACGGCAACTTAGTGTGTCGGTCTCTCATTAAAAATACACTGCCTATGCCTGGCCATATTGCATTCTCAGCGTGTCCCGAACTATAGATATAGTTATGATAGAATAATATTTCAAACTTCTCAGCTAATAGAATTAAATGCAATATATTCAATTTGTCAATTTTTATCCCGGGGTAAAATTTCGCATGTGAAGATGCCGGAAATTTTTAACTGATTACGATTTGCAACTGGTGACTGATTTGCCTGCATTATATTACTTAATTAAATATACATAACTACTTATGTTATGGAAGAAATAGGTTTCTAAAAACTATTTTTCCTACGACCACTTGAGAATGTGACACATATCACACTATATAGTCCTATGGAAAGTGCCCTATATCACACGCGTATGAATAAGAATTTACTTTCCACCCGAGTGAGAATAAGTTATGTTATGTTGATAATGGGGTGTTAATACACTGAGACCTAAAAGATCTATTGTGCCCCCTTCTGTCGCCACTGCACTAAGGAAATGTCTCAATGCCTATAGCGACCCTTCCAATCCTATTTTCTCAAGGAAGTGTAGGATTTGAAGTGGCTTCAAGTTAGGTAAGTCTCCCTCTTCTATTTGATATCCTCCTAGATATAGTGCCCTTGGATTCTGGAGTGCTACAGAGAATAAGTTACTTTCCGTAGTAGTTGTCACAAAATGTCAAACACCTAATTTCTATTGTGATCTATGTAATGTCCATATAAATACTAAAATCGATATGATTGTTAAATTATTGAAATCGTTGTAAATTAGATCCTAGATATTTATCTTTAACAATTATTATTAAAATAATGTTTGCTCTTTATTCTGGTTAAATATATAACCGATTAGATCATTCAATTGACACAAGGGCTATTAGCTCAGGTGGTTAGGACGTCGAACTTATCAACTTTGCCATTTTTTGACCGCGTTCGAATCCTGGCGGGGCAGAATTTTTTTTTTGTTTTTTTTTTAGTTTTTTTTGTTTAGAAAATATGAAAATTGAATAAATACGATTATTGTTGATTATTTTTTTAAATACATTTTAATTATTGTTTTACATTTTGTTTATGACATTATTTTGTGGTCGTAGGAAAAATATTGTACATCACTTGTGTGAAAAGTGATTTTCCACACTCATGTGAAAAATGTCACTTTCCACACTCTTAATGTAATATACTATTTCATACATATAATACAATACAGAACATAAAAATAATGTACCAAATACAACTGCTGCAAGATGAGTGTAATTTGGATTGGTAGCGTGGGCGTCTTATGCACTCACATTCATTTGCAAGCAATTTTGTGGTTGAGAGACGCCGGCTTCGAATCCTTCGAATACCATGTGAATTTTTAATTAATTTGCATGGATTGATGGATGCCGTATTAGTAGAATTTTAATTTCTGTTGATATGACATGTAGATTTTAAAAATCGCCATGCGTTACCGTTTAGAGCATGGTGGGGTTTTCCTCACCTGTAAGTCAAATGCACTATCAATCATCTTTAAGTCGTCCCGGAGCGTCACGGCAAATAATAAAAATAGCCGTCCCTTCCTTGGACAATCTCAGCTTTTGGGGTTAACACTCTTAAGGGGATGAATTAGCGACAGTATTTTGTTATTCTTCATTATTAATAATAATAATAATAAAATGCCGCTGCATTTTTCTAGACTGATAGATTTTTATTCTTTCAAGTACATATCGAAATTTTCTTTTTTTTTTGCGACATATACAATTTCACTCTGTATAGGTATTACGAAATGTTCAGGCTGAAAAGGATAGAGTCCCCAGTTAAGAAGTCCCGAGTTGCGAATGTATAGGTATTGCGAAATTTTCAGGCTTAAAAGGATAGAGTCCCGAGTTGCGAATGAACCAACGTGAAGTTCTGATTTGAGGTCCCTCTTATAATTGAAAGGATAAAAGTCCTTGGAACACATGACAATTTTCTGTTTTAAATTTATCTGCACGGCCACAGGCTGCATTTTCGGGGGCCGGGAGTAAGTATTGCCTATAACAATTCCCTTTTTAGTATATTTTTTTAATAAAATGCTCGTGTAATGTAAGATTTTTAATCCGGGGAGCGGGCGCCCCCTGGGACTCCCCGCTTAAGTCGTCCTTGGACCACTTCTTACTAACCCCTTACTGTCGGGGAAAGCAAAATACAATGTTTTTTTTTAAATTCTTTGCTTTGATTGTTACTGTTACATCCGTAAATTGCGTAACCCAGCATTGGCGATATCCCCCCTCCCCTGAGTTTTACAACGGTGAACACGGTCAAAAACTATATTTTTGAAATAAAACTGCAATAATTTACAAAATGGGTTTTATTATTATAAAATAACAAAAAAATACGTACCTAAATCCAATTCTTCACAAAGTGTGTAAAACGAATTGTTTAACATTATAAATTATTGTTACAAGCTAAAAATCTAAAAGTTAAACAAGTCTTTTGCCTAAGTATCAAATACTTTTTATTAAGTGTTAAAAGATCGTTTCATCGATGTTTAAATGTCTTTCGGAACAAATGTCAATTCTGTGTGCGCCTGAGCAAACATAGGCAGAAGTTGAGAGTCGAGACCAACGTGTTCAACTCTTATGACTTTTGCTTCTGTCGCTTTGGGTTCTTTTCTAACTACTGCAAGCCCAGTAATACGCATCAAGTGTTCTTCGTTTTCGGTAGAGGCCCCTCCTATTCTCGCCAGACGAATATGGCAGAATACATCGATGTGGATATATTTTTGTATTGCTACACCGGCAGGTGTCTTAATCTGGAAAAATCAGATGAGACATTTTAGATAATTTTTAGTTAGAAAAATTCACATTAAATAATGAGTGCTTGGAGACTATTTAACTAGTTTTTATAGTCTCTTAAACACAATCTACTGGGTGTTCAAATTTGACATTCAGATTTAAATTGACCGCCATTTTTTGGTAATCTTCATTCACAGTATTTCTATGGTGACATATGTCAAGTAAAAACTTTGCGGATACTTATTTTTTGGTCAACATGGAACAACTGTCTATCGAAACCCCCGTTTTTATTGTGAAAAATTATTACCAAAATGGGAAATGTTTTGCTGGAACTGCAAGAAGATGCCTTATGCATTTCGGAAGAAATTTAACACCATCTGTTAAAGTTATTGAGAGTTTTATGAAGAGATTTTAATAGCAGAATATGGGTGAAGAAAATCCAAGAGAAATTTTGGAAAAACAACTGTATCCAGTAAATATGACTGTGTGGTGTGGTTTTTGGTCTAGTGGCGTTGTTGGTCCTTATGTCCAGAACATGTGGTTCCAGCAAGACGGTGCCACTTGCCACACATCGGATAAAACACTAAATCTTCTAAGGGAGAGATTTGGCACTCGAAAAATTGAACTGAGGTTAATTGTCCGCCTAGGTCGTGCGACCTTACACCATTGGATTATTTCTTGTGGGGATTTTTGAGGGGAAAGTTTATGCTAATAACCTTCAAATACCTTAACATTCAAAAAATTGAAGAAATTGAACAGAATGTTTGCGAAAATGTTCTTAAAAATTTTGTAAAAAGAATGCTATCATGCTAAAGAAGCAGAGGGGTCATATGCCGGATATCATTTTTTATTATTAACCGTAACATTTAAACTTTAAAATAATACAATAATATATCAAGGACTTTTTGTGTTCTATTATTAAATTAAATCCGAATGTCAAATTTGGACACCCTTTATATAATAAATACTTTATTATTAAGAGATGAAGCGAGAATTATTATTACCTTTTCCATTTGTTCCTCAACTTGTGGCAAATCATCCCTAAATACTTGAGCTTCACCAAGTACCATATCACCAGCCTTTACGATAAATTTCATTCCATTTTGTACTGCTCTAGGTTCTAAACCTAAACCATCTGGATGGCTATCAGACCACAAATAATTGTCTGGTTCAACCAGAGAGTCTGGTTGGAATGTCAGTCTTTTAGCATATCCCATTCCAATACTGTTCAATTTGAGAGCTCTACCTCCGAAAAGGCGCTCTTTTCTGTCATTCGGTCTAACTTTGTAGCAGAATCCCGGGATAATTCTTGGATCTACGTAAGTACCTAAAATAAGAAAAAAAAATATATAAAATTTACTAAGTTTATTTAGTTGGATTTAGATCTAAGTCCAATCTAAAGTTTAGAAAAGGGTTTGTCTGCTATTAGATGAACCGTCTATAAATCTTTTAGAGAAGTTTTTGAAGCCTGTGAGCGATGGTTCTTGAAAATTATACCTTCCTTTGCGGTTTATGATACCTATTTAACTCTAAAGTCTGAATGTTCTAGCTGATTTTTAAAGGAAATTTCTTATAAGAATTTTAAAGTGTTTACAAAATTATTTTTTAAATATTTGAATATTAGTCGTACGTACAATTTCCTTATAATGGGATTGTTAAAACTTTTTTTTTTAGAAAATCTTTTTACACCAACCCTAATCTCTTAACTAGTCGCGTGGTGTATTGTTTAACAGATTGCACATGTTTTTTAAAATTCGATTGTTTGTGACTACGATATTGTTAAACCACGCCTTCACAAACTGGCGATGCCTTGTAGGCAACGAGATTTCGGATCTCCCCTTGGCCCAAATATTGTTATTCCATCATTAGCCTCGCTATGTCGGAGAGAATTGCTTATATGCTTGGGGATTGTGTTTTTTATATTTTATTTCTGAGTGCATACTTGCACAGAGGCGTATTCAGATTTAATTTAAGGTCAAAAGTATTTTTTTAATAGTTTTCTTAACACATTTTCTGGCTAGAACTCTAATTTCTCGTTCCCAACAATCTGTCATATTTTGTTATGCAGTGCATTAAGCACTACTTAAAATGAATCAGTTGTGTTGATTATTTAAACATTCTAGGATATTTAATTCATTATTTTTAGTATGTGCTAATTAAGATGGGTATACCTTCTATGCAGTACAATTATATTTTGTTTACTTAGCGACACAAAAACTTACCTACAACTGGAAGTTCATAAGATTCCACACCTGTCATTGTATATTTGGTAGGCACGTCATTTATTTGATTTCCTCTGACAGTCATTCTTCTGTGTACCTTTTGCATACCAGGCAACAGATAACATCTGTGCCTCTTGATGTTGACATTACTGACCTTAACAATTGCAGCAGCATTTTTACCTTTGAGCAAACGTGACACTACCATGCCAGTGAGGTGCATTGGTTTAGCCACGCCAGTTTCGTAAAACTCAACTTTACCTGTAAACTTGACATTGGCTTTTTTCTCAATGACACCATTTGATATAGAGCTAAAAATTTCAGTTTGTGGTCCCTGAAAGAATGAGTATCATAAGTAAATGTAAATTTGATATTAAATAATTCTTTTGATCAAAGACTTACGAAGCACCACTCTGTTTTACTGTCGGTGGCTGTTAATGTTAATGGACCGCTCTGCTCTCGGATGGTAACGTGTGTGTCTGATAAAAACATTCATTCGGGCATATATGCGAAAAAGGATATCGAAAAAATAAACGGGGTAAGTAATTATATAAAGAAGAGCCTCACCTCTAATTTTAGTACTTCTACAGTCCCTTCAGATTCGCCATTGGAGTTAAAGAACGTAAATTTGTCTCCTTCGGATAGAAATTCTGGTTCCAAAGCATATCCTTCAGGTCTGTTGTCACTCCAGAAATAGTGGTCATTATCATTAAGTTTGTTCTTTTGTGCTTCAAAAGTGAATCTTCTTGCGTAGCCTCTGCCAATTGATTTCAGAGTTAAGGCACTGCCATCAAATAAGCACTTGTTAATGGTGGAAGAAAAGCCTACTTCTGGCAATGGCCTCACGCGATATTTGAAGCCTGGAACAATTCTTTTGTCAATGTAAACCCCAACAACAGGTAGCTGATGGGGTTCCAGGTCACAAATAGTGTATAGTCCTGGAATATCTCCCAATAAGGAGGCATCCAGTGTGAGTGGTACTTTTACTGGGACTTCGGGTTCTTTAAATGTTTTAACATCTTTTACATAGCGGTCCTGAAAAGGAAACATTTAAATGTAATTTTTTTAAATAACATTGTCTGATATTTTAAATAAAACAGTTATAATTTTAATTTCGCTAATAAATACGCTCATGATCCAAGTGATTGAACATATTCTACGGCATTACGTAGTGCGATATATTAATGCCCGTGTTAATTTTTAGATTACTGTATTTTCTTTCGTAAGATAATGTTATTTTTAAAATCTATTTCTCCAAAATGTTGAATTATTTGTTAATTTGTTAACAAATGTACCGTTACTGCTGTTGAAACTGATGACATATAGGTAATGTTTTCTTAAGAGGAATAATTTACTGTATAAATAGAGTTATAATGCTACAATTTGTAGTTCTATAATGATAAATATTTTCTGTTTCAATACAGAATAAATAAAACTCAATAAATAAAACTCAATATTTTTCTTCTTTCTTTCAAGAATAGTATATTATATTACGAGTGTGGAAAATCACTTTTCACATAAGTGATGTACAATATTTTTCCTACGACCACAAAATAACTTCATCAAAAAATGTAAAACCAGGTTATTATTATAATAATTAAATGTTACTCTAACCATCTGAGGTAATATGCCTTGCGTCAATTGAAGGATCTAATCGGTTATGTGTTTAACCAGAATAAAAAGCAAACAACTTAATTATTTTAATAATAATTGTTAATAAATATCTATGATCTAATTTACAACAATTTCAATAATTTAACAATCATATCGATTTTAGTATTAATATGGACATTACATAGATCAAAATAGAAATGACGCGTTTGACATTTTGTGACGGCTGATGCGGAAAGTAGCATATTCGTACACGGGTGGAAAGTAAATTCTTATTTATACGCGTATGATATAGGGCACTTTCCATAGGACTATATAGTGTGATATGTGTCACTTTCCTAAGTGGTCGTAGGAAAAATATATTTTTTAAATACCAACAAATTTCTAACCCAGCTAGCACATAACGTTGCCAAGCCTTTCGGCGATGTTGCATTAAGGGAACGTAATAACATTACTGTACAACGTAAATGCAACGTTCATGAGAAGTTGTTGAGGGAAATCAAAACCTCGCAAAACTTCTATTTGTTATTTACCTAGTTAACCTACCGCAAACATTACAAATCTGAATTCAGAACGTTTAGTTTTATGTCAATTGTCAGATTTTCTTGTCAATTGTCTTTTTTAATGGTTTATTTTTCGACATCCAGAATTTATTTTATAAATAATTATTATTTATACATTCGAATAGATTTGGTAAGGGTCCTCTATAAAATAGATAACTATTTTCTAAACCATTGTCTTTGTTTCAGATTACAATGCCTGATGTAAATTTATTATTTCATTCATTAAGTATCTTTAGCAGTCGATGCCGATGACACCAAATAAAAAAAAAACTACAATAAAAACAAAGAATTGCAGATCAATCGTTGTAAACCAGAAGATAAACATTTAACCGAATGTCCGGCAACATTTTACACCAAATACTTATAAAAGGTAATTATACTTTATCGAACTAAAAATACATTTTAAAAATATTATTTTTTAGGTTTCCTTCGACATTCTAGGAATTTTAGAAGCAAAAGTAAATACTACAGAAGTGTAAAGAAGAATATAACACCTGAAGTTTTATAAAAAGTGAATCTATAGGTACATGATATGTCAGATATATCAGAATTCAAGCAGTTCATTCTCTTCAACAGGCTATCAGTTCAAGTGAAAACCCAGCAGAAAAGTTGAGAGAAATCATAGATGATACTCTCGAGTATAATAGAATATCTTGCTAAAAAACACCAGTTGTTTTTTATAAAATCTACATATCGATGGCTCAATCAAATACTGCCACAACTAAAATACTATTATTTCGAGAAATTTCATTTTGAAATTATTATTATAAAAGTGAGTTGTTGCATAGTTGTAAAAAATTTGGGTGTTTTTGAAGAAAATAACTCGAATTGAGGCAGTTTTAGACACAGTTTGTGGCTACATTTTAAATGATTTATCTTTAAGGATATTTTTGTTTGTGGTGGTATTTAAAGTAAAACCGTAATGATATTTTGCATCCATTGAACCAAAAATGTAATTGCTTTGTTTTTTGACTTGTGGCGGTTTTTGATTCAGCCATCGATATATCTACTTTGGAAATAAGCATAAAATTTGTAAAATTCAAAACAAATTTCAATACACTAACATTGGTTGTTTTATTTAAAACAACAAAGTAAGGCATATTTTTTAATTTCTATATAATTTCCTTTAATTAATAATAGGTAAATAAGTTATCAATTTCTTTTTTATTCAATATATTGAGAAGTAAAATCTTTTTATATAAAAATATAATTTATGCTCTTCTAATAAATTGTCATATTTAGGTTACATTATAGCACTTTATAAATATCTATGCAAAAAAAGTTAAAAGGCTTGATTTAAAAAAGATATATCTCTGCGTCTTAGGTAAGAAATCAGCGAACTTAGCTATCCTCTAGTAATCTAATATAATAATATATGTACCTAGTCATTGTTGTATTCGTTTATTATTTTTCACCAATCTAGCTTTATCATCGTTCACCATTTAAGGTTTTAGTGAACCTTTGCAATATTGGTACCTTATTATACTATTTAGCTAATTTTGTCCATGCCTTGGCTCATTGGTGAACTCACCGCTGGAAAAAAGAATGATTGACACATACAATCGTCTTTCCATCACTTAATTTACGAACGGTTTGCTGCAAGCGCTGGATACAGCACTGAATAAAAGAACACGCCTACACCTACCTCTACTTTTGTGCTATTGGTACTTGATTTCAAGAACATTTTAATAATAAATTTATATAAATATTTTGTTTTATTTGAAATTTTCATGTCTCGATTGAGATTTTACTATAGCCTCAATTTCAGCCTCTCTGTATTACATTACACAATGTGTGTCCACGGATGGACTTAATTATACTTGTAAAAATATTTATTTTAAATTAAAGAAAAAGTTATTTTTCATAATTTCTCATTGTGAATCGAATTTATTTAACAAGCATGAAATTATGAAGAATTACTTTTTTAATTTAAAATAAATATTTTCACAAGTATAGTTAAGCCCATCCGTGGACACACTGTATAATGCTGTAGATCTAATTCACATTGTAACATCAATAGAACGTTTCAGAGCAACTTTCGGGGTAAGTACCGTAAAAGTACTAGTGTGATGTTTTTCGAACTTCACTTTGTAACTTCTGTGAGATGTGCTATAAAAGTCTTGCCGTTGCGGACATTCGGTAGTTGCAGGGAGATAAGGGTTACATTTACAGTACATTGCATGCGAGCTTAAAGAGCCTAAAATTGCAGCTTATTAACGTAGATGGGATGTTTTTGTGCTAGCTGGGAAGTCATTTATTATAAGTGGCCTGTTCTCTTTTCGTTGTACAAACACAGTTTATTTATAACATTTATTTATAATTATTAAAAGTATTCTCTACAGTCAATGTATTTTAGCATCCGCGAAATCAATACTTAAAAGTTTATTTATTTTATTTATGAAGGCATCGACCTCTTCTTCGGCCGATGCAAAATATGACCTCGCAATTTATCCTTTACCCGCGGAAATAAGAAGTCATTAGGTGCTAGGTCTGAACTATATGGCGAATGACTTATTATGTTTATAGTTTGATCATGCAAATACACATTTGTTTGAGCAGCAGTGTGAGCCTGAGTGTTATTTTGATGCAAGTTGATCCTTCTTCTTTGACGTTTTTCGCAAATCTATTGGAAAACCTGAGGCAAACAAACTGTTGTATACCATTGTGAATTAACAGTAGGTCAAACAAACTGTAGTATCCCATTCTGAATTAACATTAAGTCTATCCTCCAGTGCTCCAGTGGAAACATGCCCAGTAATTCCAGAAAAAGAGGTGACCATCTTTTTGTTTCGGATTTTTTCACGAACTTTTGTTAGAGCCGAATCATTCTCAAAGTCCCAAATTGACGATTGTTCGTTTTTTGAGGATCATAGCAGTATACCCATGTTTCATCACCTGTGATCATGTTGTACATCAGATTAATGATCCATGCGCACAGCGATATAGTATCTTCTTTTTGAACTAAAGTCAAGTTGTGGGGAATCCACCGAAAACAAAACCTACGGGCTTTGAAATGTTTGTGTGAAATAGTGTTAATTGCTTTCACAACAATCTTTAAAGTTGCTTGATGTTTCTGACACGAATGTGCCGGTCCTCTTTAATTATGTTCCAAATAAGATCAATAGTTTTGTGTGTAACTGACGTTTTGGGCTAAGGAGCTCGAAAATTGGCATCTTGTGAAAGTCAACTTCGTTGAAATTCATTGTACCACCGCTTTACGGTAGCTCACCAAGCATTCAATAGATTTCCTCAAAACATTCTTTACGTTTAAGCCACACTTGAAATTAAAAAAAAATAACTTCTAGTTAATGTTCCTTGTTCATTTCCATCGCATATTTGTGAAAGGAATAGTTGAAACTTATTAACTTACAAAAAATCAAGTATATTTGAAAACTGTCACTAACAAATATTAGATTGAAACGTCAGATAAAATTTGTTGCAAAAATAATTATCATTGCCTACTGGAAAGCGGAAAGGGAACACCCTTGTATTTCTTATTTAAATTTTATTTATAAATGCTAATCAAAATAGCAATTTATGAAACCAGTTACGAAATGCCTTATTTTATGTAACGAGTGAATATTTGGGGGACGAGCAACATTTATTACTATTTTATTACACTATAGTGTGCTGCGGTCGTCATAAGTTAAAGTACAAGTAAAAGAAGATATAATACTCCAGAAATGTCCGGAAATGTCATTACCCGTCAAGAATATTCTAGACGACAATACGAGAAGGATCGAGAAGGGACAAGAAAGCTATATAAGGATGATCCTGAGTCCGTTTCCAGTTTTATGATAGACGTTACACGTTAATGTTATCAGTTGCATTGTTATTATTAAAGTTGAGTTGAAATAAATTGCGATACCAAAAACCTGCGTAACACTAAGTTGTAAGTTTAACCAAATTCTATTTTTATAAATCAACCTGTCCATTTTCGATATAAACGTTCAATAATAATGTATATTATTGTTTTTAAAATCAAAAAAGGTTTATTTTTATTTGTTTTCTTCTCGCAACGGGTCACAATGAATTTTTCGAAACCAGTTGCGTAAATTAGATCATTTCGAAACTTCCTGCGATTACAAAAAAAAGTCACTTTATATGTCAAAATTAGAAAAAATAATTAAAAGATATCAAACAATGTAAATGACTCATTAAATATCAAATATTTTTTATAATGGCGATCTATTGTTCTCAGTCGAAAAAAAAAAAAACCATGGAAAATATTTGATTTTTTCTGTTTGGAGCTGTCAGATCATGTTTTTAAACATTTTTACATTGTTTTCTTATATTCATTCATATCATAAAATATTGTAAGTACATATTGAATATCTAATAATTGATTTTTTTGCATCATTTTTTTAGATTTTTTAGTTGTTTTTTAGATTTATTTCCTATATAAATTTTCCCATATAAATTGTAACGGAAATTATTCATTTTATGGTTAGACGGCGCCAATGGTTGACTGGTTTCGAGTTTATCTGTAGTTATCGCCTAGATAACGCATAGTTCCACTTGATGAATGATATCGAATAATTTTAAGGTACTCTGCAAACGGTCAAGGCCCAATTATTTTTCCCAACATAAAGGCGTAATTTCACGGTGCCAACAACTTTTATTACATGAATTTTAGTATTTGCTTTAGTTTAAATAGATATTTTAGTACTTAATTCCAGCATTAGTTTTAGTAATGATTCCAGTCACGTGAATAACGCGGCGTAACACGCAGTTTTAACATGTACATCATGTTAATACAATCCATACTGATAGTTGCAATTACAAAATCTGTTAAAATATTGTTAATAATTTAATCACAGTGAGCTCGAGACGGACGGAAGATATCACGGTGAAATTTGTGGAACTTTGTATATTAGGATTAGTATTGACAGGACTTCGTAGAATTGAATAGGATAGAATATAGTCTCACAAGAATAATACTGTTTCCGCGAGGGCCACAGTACGGTTGCTCAGGTTATCAGAATAGCCCATCAGGCAAAAGAAACCATAAAACAGACCTTACTCGTGTCATTGGACATAGAAAAAGCGTTCGACACGGTTTGGACCTGTATACAGATAGGAAAGTAAAAAACAAACGCGGGTATAGCCTCAAACCCAGGCCCTTTGAGAATGCTATGGTACCGATGGGGAATGTCTATAGAATTCACATCTTCTAATTTACAGAAATAAACAAGCAGGTGAGGTGGCAATAAAAAGAATTACGCTTGCAATGAATGTAAAAGATTTTGGTTCAATAGATGTAAAAATGAAATTTAAAAAAAATCGCAAAGTTCTGGAGCGGAAATCAGATGTAATTAAAAAGGAAAATAATTTAAACTCAAATGCGCCCAATATGTAAAACAAAATAAATACAAAGCCATATGTCACACAAAATACGAACGACCGTTTCCTTTGGGAAAATAACTACTACTCATTTGGCTAATACCGTAACAGGTATTGAATTGTATCCAAAAGAAAGTCAACAAAGATATAAATTTAATTTTAACATTCTACCTTTGATTTAGCTTACTATGGAGAAGTTCATTCTTGGATCGGTTTCGTCCATATTAGGATTCATCGGCAAGAAATAGTAAAGTTCTCAATTCCAGTCTCTAATGGAATTAACAAAGGCACGAAATTCACTAGTATGCAATAACAATAATGTTGGTTACGAAGAGAATAAGTATTCAAGTAGTGAAAATGTTAACGCTACCTGTTCTTAATAAACAAAATCAAAGGTCGCTTGTAGTACCGGAATGACGTTCTCCTTAGTAAGCAAAATCAAAAGTAGAGTGTTGAAATTTCTACCCCTGCTGTCTTTCCTTCGGATATAATTCAATAACTGTTGCAGTATTAGCCAAAGGAGTAGTTGTTTTCCAGAGGGAAATGGTAGCTCGTATTTTGTGTGACCTATATAGCTCTGTGTTTATTGATTTTATTTTAAGTCAAGTACGTCAAAGAAAACAGGAGACATTCTCATACAATTTCTGTATTCTTCAACGTCTTTTACAAGCGTGTTACAGAAGCACGATGGGAGCTTCTCCTTGACAGTCATTTTCTTAGGTACATTTTTTGTTGGAATTCTACATAATGTTTATTATTTTCAAACATAATTTTATTGTTATTTTCATGATTAAAGCACATTTGTTAGGCTTCGAATTAATCTTTTAAACAACAAACTGATGCGTCGGGTAAATTAAATTCTAAAAAAATATTTAATAAGAATAAAATTTAAACAAGGCAGCTACTGGTACCATGTAAACTACAACTATCTTTAAAGCACTGACTTTTAGGACTGGATTTTAGTGACATGGACAAACAAGGTGGTGGGCACCGAGAAATGCCGCCTCAAGGAAGTTAATGTTTCCTTTGTCTTGAAGAATGAGTTCATGGTTTAAGACATATTGATAGTAGGTACTTATCGGTTAAATTATTCACATCATTATCTTTTTGTTAAAGAAAAAAATATTCCTATTCTCTAATGTGACCAATTTAAAATAAATCATGAAGTTCGTTGAGATTTTCTCTTTTTCCTTCATGATTTATTTTTGTTATAATTTTTGTTTTTTATCCATCTGATTACCAATTTATTTTCAGTAATTTAAGTAACGTAGCAGACATTTACGTGCCCAATGAAAAACCTGGATTTTTTCAGCTCACAGAATTGCTGAAAAAATAATTTCCCCAAAACTAACCACCATTAATGATAAAATGGAAAAATATAGATTAACTTAATCAACTAGAGTCACTAGGCACATATACGATTTGTTTTAATGTTTTGTCTTGCAGTTGTTTCATGATATTTATTTTATTTTGGGTTGGAGTATTATCAACTGGCCTGGATTCTTTTAAATTTAAGTACTTCCTTCCATAAAAATCATGTCTTAATATGAACATTACGCTATCTAGCTGCTGATAACGTTAAGTCAACCACCGCATGACCATGAAATGCGCAATTTTAAAAATATAATTGTATAGATGTACTGGGTGTCTATATAAAAAAACACGCCGGCTGTCCGCGGCCGGTATACAGGCTGTATCTCAGACTCAGAAACAGTAGAAATTTTGCTCAAGATGAATCGCTGGAAACTATTTTCAAGTTACTAACTTCTCTACTAGATGGCTTAACGCTTATGACCAATGATAAACTGATGAACGAGTGGGTTGTCAAATTTGAATAAGATTTTGCATAGATTATAATTTTTATATTTTGAATATCTCTTTTAATCGTTGGGACTGACTATTATGCTCTGTAACGGCTAAGTTAGGAATTTAAAAATAATTTTAAGCAATTTTTAGGGACCACTTTTGTGGTACATATCTGTACAATAAAGGTTCGTTAGATATATAGTCAGCGTCATTTCTTATTTGGTCACCTGGTATATGAGAAATGATATCTACGTTATCAATTTTTAAATATATCTAAAGTATTTTTTTCCATCTACCTAACTGGTATTAGTTAAATAATTGTTAATTCAAAGTAAACTGTAATTATATTTATACGAATTTTCCATTTATTTACCTGTTTAATTTGAATAAACATCACTGAGTAAATAAACATATTTTTGAAGACTAGCAATGTTTGAAATAAATTTGATAGGCATACATATATTTGCCCACACAAAAATTTGCTACTTTTATTTTTCACCTTACAAAAACAACCGCAACTAATTGTAACTGCGCTTTTTGGCGATATTCCATGTTTAAAAATACATTTTGCAAATACGCTGATTATTTCCTGTGGTAATAAACCACCCATCAGGAAAAGATTTTAATAGAATCCGATTACAATAAGATGAATACCGCCACGTCATAACCACTATTTCGAATTTCAAATATATATCCCCTATAACTATCAATAAATTTAATAACGAATAAGTGAGTTGTTTGGTTTAAAAAAGAATTCCTATAAAATTAAAATGCCACCAAACCCTCAGTAAATGGCGATAGACAACAAATTATTCCGCCAAATGATAACGTAGATATGTTCTTATTGTAATCGGACCCTACCTGTGTTATCATCTTGCTTAACTTACTTGTAAGTCTAAAAATTCCGAATCGCTATCCAGATCACAGCTTAAATTTTTGAAATGTTGCACACATGCACTCCTCTGAGCATCAATATGAGAATTCTGTGAGAAAAAGAAAATATTGGTTAAATTTTTACTGAAAAACTTGGATCGCTTTCAGATGCATCCACATGTTGAGTAAGGAAGAAATTAGGAGACTCTGATAGAGAAAAATCATTTTTTAAGTAGAAGATGGAAAATGTGTTAAGAATTTAAATAAAATGGGCAAGTTAATTTCATTAGCAATGAAAAGATAAATATATTTTTGGAAACAGATGATAAAGTTTTAATGAAAAAATATGATAAAAATAAGACCAAACGAAAAAGAATTAATATATTTTACTATTATACTGTTAGAATACTGCATAAGTTATTATTAGAATAAAAGCAATATTATAAAAAAAGGGTACTTTGACTAAAAAAAGATTTTTCTCTAGAGCGCTTACGTATAGGGTGTCTGAATGAGAACTGTCAGCGGTTGTATAACAATATTTTGAAGATGTAAAAAACGCAAAAATTGATCAGTTTTTATTTCTCAACTGTGATGTCATTCTCTTTCCCTCCGACACTTTAACCAACGCCATTTAAATATGGACAGTACCAAATATGATTTTTTATAATAGGTAATTTTATGCTCATTGTGGTACTTTTAATTTTAGCGTCATGTATGAATGATGTCATATTGCTTTATTTCATATAAAATTAGCTTGTGTTATAATTGGTACTTTCCCTCATTAGTGAAGGAGAAGAGGGAATGACAGTTAAAAATATGATAGAAATTGGACCTATCTTTGCGTTAAAAAAAATCTACTTTAGTCCATAATCAGATACCTTGTACGTTTTGGATGGTTTTGCGTTTTAGCATCAAAAATGCGTATGCAACAAACAACAAATTAATTATAAATATTTTTAACCTACTTGCATCGGTAGAGATAATAAGTCTTCAGTCTCATTGACTTCCTCAAAAAATGCCGTGGATGATGATGCTCCACGACGGAGTAGCTGCCAATGACGTTGCATGGCATCCAGTTTGGCTTCTTCTTGAATATTCTGAGAATACATTTTTCCTGTAAGAAAATTGAAAATATTTCAACAAAGAAAGTAAAAAGTCATTTATCAAATCGGTTATAGAAAGTTACAATTACAGATGTTGTATCTCATGAAATTACACTTCCTTCGGGTGTACTTCAAGGATCTCATTGCGAACCAATTCTTTTTAATCTGTTTATTAATGATATTTATGATACATTAAAATATACCCAATACTTACTTTTTGCAGATTATTTTAAGTTTTTCAAATTTATTATTATTCTGGTATAAAATGGATCTAAATATTAATAAATGCTTTTGCATAACTTTTAGAAAAGTTTTGTTATCCCTTATAGGTGACTGTTATGTATTACAATATACTGTGGACTTAATCGCATAAGTTATAATGCACGAAACGTGTTATCAAAAATTAATTGAGTTGAATTCATTAAGGTGATTACAGCACCCCCTTATAATTTTCGGACAAGGATATCTCAAAAAGTAATTTTTTTAGAAAATTTAAATTTGGATAAAATAAATTAGGCAATAATATCTAGAATATTCATATTTTTTAAAGTTTTAATTCTTTCCAGTTTCCGAGAAAAAAAAATCAAAGGGCTTTAAATTTTGAAATATAATGAAAATAAATGCATTCCTCAACAGCAGTATTCCTAATATAATCCCCAAATTTAAGCTCTTAATCTCTTGTTAATGATTTTTTTAAAATTCGCCGAAATTAGTGGCTAAAACGCCTCGTTAAGTGCTTCTTTCTAGTGTAACGCGTCTGTAACTATCGTATCGTACACTCTGAGTCATCATTCGTTTCTTGCAATGATTTACACTAGTTTACACCCGTTTAAACAAGAAAATAGTACTTAACAAGGCGTTTTAGCCACTAATTTCGGCGAATTTTAAAAAATCATTAACAAAAGATTAAGAGCTTAAATTTAGGGATTATATTAACAATAGTGCTGTTGAGGAATGCATTTATTTTCATTATGATATTTCAAAATTTAAAGCCCTTTGATTTTTTTTCTCGGAAACTGGAGGGAATTAAAATTTTAAAATATATACATGTTCTAGATATTATTGCCTAATATATTTTGCCAAAATTTTAATTTTTTAAAAAAATTACTTTTTGAGATATCCTTGTTTGAAAATTATAAGGGGGTGCTGTAATCACCTTAATATACGTGAATATCGATAATCCCGATATCAAAAGTTATGTCCAATAGATTATATCACGAATTAATAAAAAGTGACAGTTACAGTACAAATGCAATGACAAAGCATTAATGTACTAAGTATGACTATCAGCTATTAGTATATGATGTATGATTATCTATTACTAATCAAAAGTATAGCAAATCATTACATTGTGAATGGTATAATCAAATTATAATTATAATAGTATCTATATCATGGGTCGATAATATCAAAAATCAAGGTGTCATGATGAACAATTTGTCTTTTCAAACACATACTACAAAGACAACAAAATTATTAGGTTTTATTTTCAGGTTTTCCTCTCATTTTTTTATCAATATATTTATTTAAAACAATATTAAAGTTAAAGCATATGGAATTTTTAATTGTAATGAGTAGTTTGATTTTCCGAAAGCAAGATCTGCATTAGTTGTTTGTGCTGGAAACTTCATTGCTATGGAATATAGAAATATCACTTGTAGAGAATTCAAAATGGAACTAGACACTGAGTCATTCGCCCCAGAAATCATTTCATGCAAATCTGAGTTTAAGGATATACATTTATAGAAGAACAATAACAGCATTGGTGTAGGTTTATATTACAAAAGTTCAAAGGATGATGTTCAAAGCGGTTATTTAATATCGTTACGTGTGATGAATTCTGCATATACAATTATGATCCTCTGGTGAGAAAACAGCAATTATCTATTTGGCTTTTTAACCCGTAACCGCTAAAGTGCAATTTCAGTTATATTGAGCGTAATGTGGAGTCACGTTTTAAAAGGTCACTGGAAAAAAGTGACAGCAGATGTTTTTCATCGTAAAACCTGTTGATGCACTTTAAACTGTAAGCCACAAATCTTAGCTTCTTTATTAGAAAATTTATTTGTACATCCCATTTTAAGTGTGCATCTATATATATACCTATGTCTACTAACACCACACACAGTATGCAATTTGCGGGTACTTAATGTAGGATCTACATAAACTTGCCCTAAAACCCCCACTTCTATTGCTTCAATGTTTCGTTTTTTATTGGCGACTGATCCAGTTTCCCGAAATTTAGCTACAAGTTCTAGAACCTATTTTCGATGCACGTTACTGTTCTCATGTCGCCCATTAAATATTTGTGCTCTTCTATTAGCGCACTGATTATTTCCGAAAAATATTTCTATAATTTCAACCCTTTCTGCCGTGGAATATATCATGGTTAATTTAGGTATAAAGCGTTTAAAGGTATTTTAACAACAAAGTTTGGTCAAATCAATCGCAAACTATATATTAAATTCCTATTTAAAATAAGTACGAGGCATTCCCTTCTTATCTTTCTTCATGAAACAACTTTTTTGCCACAAAAAAACGCTCCAATCGCGATTTTCAACACCAACATGATAAACAAACCAAGGGCGTAGTGAAGAAAAGCATTTACTTATTAATTAAATGCTTTTACTCAAATTTCTTCTGAAAGTAGTAGAAACTGATCTGATGTACCTATTAAAGTCTACTTTAAGCTTAAAATCAATAAATCTCCAAACCTACTGAACTGAAGTACATGAATTTTACATCATTAAAAAGGCAATTGAAAGACCTTTCAAATGATGAATCATTCGACCCCCTTTCCATTTAAGATTTTAGGGATGGTGCCAACCCCGCCTAAGGGGCTGCACGTGTTAACGTGATTTTTTCCAATTTTTTGATTCATTTCGGCGTATCGCCAGCGATTCGCTGGCGATCCGCCGGCGAAAGCCCAAAAAGCTGGCGACTCGCCGGAGATCGTCACCGGAATGTCATTTCACGCAAGTTTTTATTTTCTTTTATAGGGATTATCACCGGTATCTCTCGCATTTTATTCATGATTCATTTCTTAAAACTCAAAAAATAATGAACAAATATCAAATTTTTCCCTATAAAAGAACATGAAAACTTGCGTGAAATGACATTCCGGTGACAATCTCCGGCGAGTCGCCAGCTTTTTGGGCTTTGCCGGCGGATCGCCGGCGGATCGCCAGCGAATCGCTGGCGATACGCCGAAGTGAATCTCTGGCGAGTCGCTGGCGATCGACTATGCATACAGCTGTTAGTGTTTTTCCAAAAACGAACTGAGCTGCCAGTAAATGTCTCTGTTTCGTTTTCGATACGTCACCCTATATGTAATGAGTATCTAATAAATATGGAATCAGTGAAATCTAACAATAGATTAAAATCTGGTTTGCGAGGAATGATAACTTATCAAAAAGAAGCAAAAATAACTTAAAATCCGTTGTCCAACTGATGACCATACATCACTCATACATTCTAGTACTGACCCCAAAAGATATTTTTTGTTGCTAAAAAAATATCCTTTTTTCTTTCAATTTCCACGAAATTGTTTCTTTAGAAAGAGGAATAGTGTAAATATTTTATAAAGTAACATAATTTTCTTTAAAAAGTACCCGTTTTTTTTGTAATTATAAGTCCTTACATAAGTATTAGAGAATTCGAACTCTTGACGGTTTATGGTTAATATTTTGTATGTAGTGTAAATAAATATCTATAAGTGTCTCCAAAGTATCTAAAAATAACTTTCTAAACATAATAAATATACCCATTATGATAAATTGAATTCCTTGTTGAATTCCGTTCATGATAAAATGTATGTGACGTGAATCGTACCCGCAAAAATGGACAGGAAACATATTATTTTATCGCAACGGTAAATAAAATAACAGTTATTATCAATATATACAAATTAAGAGGAGCTTCTTTTTTATTGATTTAATTAATTTTTTTCGTTGGTTATAAATTAAAAGATTTGTTAATAGCTCGGTTAAATAAACCGGTGTTTCTTGAAGAGTCTATCGATTTTAACAAGGTATTTGTAAAATCATGCCGTGTCAGAATAGTTGCATCTAAGTAGTTGAGCCACTCCAACAGAAAACGAGTACATTGACAGATAATGCGGACTACCTTTTCATCATATTCACTGCATTAATACCTGTTAATTAATTTTGGGTACCAGTTTTAACACTCCCTGTAGCTTACACAGAAAAAATCGCAATATCCAAGCAACGAAACTTGTATGACGAAGAACCAACGTCAGATCTTGAAGAAGAGAACTATTAAAAATTCGCTTGTTGAACAAACGTTTGCATAATCTTCAGCTGTTTAAAATACGAATATTTTCGTTATTGATTATACAAGAATTGATGAAGGCAGACTCTCACTAAAGTTTTAGAGAAAACGAACAATAGAAAAAATCGACTGTGTAAGGTATTAGAGGTCATTTTTGTTCAGTTTTAGAGAAAACGAGCAATTTCAATACAGAAAGAAGAATAAGGCTCGAGTGCAATTAGAGTATGTTCTACAATAGAGTGGAAATTAATAAGGATGAAAAGTTGGCGAGTATTCTCAAACTATAGGAATTTTTTTCATTCGGCTGCTCATCATCGTAATTAACAATTCTCCTGTTCCACAATGAAATCTTGTTTCGGACTTATATCCGAGCTATCCCTTTTTCCTTACTGTACTGAGTCAAGTAATCTGTGAAACAATATATTGTAAGGAGGTTTTTCAAATTGTTTGATAGCTCACATTTTTGTCAGAATATTGCATTATGGTATACAAATTAAATATTCGAAAGAATATCTACAACCTAGTTCCAAAACGAGAAACGTTAATATCGAGAAACCTGCTAAAAATTATATGCGGACACTTAAACTGACCCCGTTTCAGGCTAAGAGGAAATCCAAAAATAACATTTGACATTTCACTTATTGAATCTTTAATTTCCAAGCAGCATCATACATCGTACCCTTTACAGAAATTTAATAAGATATTTTTTACTTTTCCGTCC